GTGAGCGGGGAGCGCACAAGGGGTGACGCGGGGCGAGAGAAGAGATAGCAGGGGCGACGCACTCACTCGTACGTGTGCCGCTGCACGCGCGTCGTCATCTCGAGGTAGAACGCCTGTTTCGGCGGGAGCGCACCAAAGAGCACCTCGCGGATCGACGTTTTGCCGCTCCTGCGTTCGTGTCAGCCTCTGGCACTCGCGCGAGGAGAAGGGGAGGGGGGAGAGGGCGCACCGACGCATGCCGAGGAGCAGGAGCCGCGTGCGCAGCACCGCGTCCGTCGCGGGCGTACCGCCGCCGTTCGCGACTGGGACGAGCCCCGTCGAGCCATAGAAGGAGTTTGCTAGCCCGGCGTGGCTGGACGAGCGCGAGGACGCCATTTAGTTGAGGGCTGATGGAGGGAGCAGAGAAGTGGGCTATGGCGCGCGCTGAGTCACGTGGGTAAGAGGCGCCTGCGCGACGGGATTGCCCCGTCGCGTCGACCGGGCAGGAGGTGCCTATGTTAAGATCGTACGTATCCCGTTCTGACATCTATATCCATATAATTCTCCTAGCTCGAATTTAAACACCACGTATCCAGTTACCGTGCCGAGGCACGTGAAGACTGGTTGGAATGCGCGTGATCTGTAGTGCTGCTATACCTGCCTTCCACCGGCTTCTACAACGCCTGCCCATAGATTGTCAGGTTACCGGTCACTCACAAGGCACCACTAGTCTGATGGGGTGTGTCCCAGATGCTATGGTGAATAAAGTGACGTTTACCAGCCGCAGGGTAACAGGGGTCACTTCCACTGGTGACTGAGCTGCTAGAGCTACAAGGCCCACGGAGTGCTGCTGCTGGCTGTAGTTGTTTTTCTGTTCTCTTCTTTTCTCTTATTTTCCTTTCCTTTCTTTTCTATTTCTTTCTCAGTGTCAGCCCCTTGCTGGAAGTCGATGAAAGTTTGACTCACATCTCCCGTGACTTGTCGGCCTGTGCGACACATGGGTAGTTTAGAACGGCTTCGGTACTTTGAATAGCTGCTCGGAGAAACAGTACTAGTACCAGTACAGAAGAGCTTCGGAAGCAAGAACCGCAAGGTTATACCGTGACAGTAATCACTGTATTAAGACAAGAGCAAATCTCATAGTCCGCGGCCTCGTATTTGTCTGCGAACGATACTGGATATATGCGGTCAAAGTTCATGCGCGTTTCATGAACGTCTCGCCTCCTCGCTTGAAATCGTTTGAAGCGTGCCCGAAGCGGCTTCAGTTTGAACACACTTTGATGGCGATCTGGCACTGTTTGGAAGGGCTGACGCGGTTTCGGGGCGTTGAAGCGACGGATCATGCAGAATCCCCGGTCTTCCCGTCGAGGCGGCAGTTCGCACGCCAATGTCTACAGAATGTTGGGTGCAGACGTAACATTTCGGCACAGCACTGTTCGTCGTGTCTGTGCGGATTTCATTCAGCGATACAGGCAGTGCTGCATAAATGTTGGTCTTTCCAGCTCCAGCACGAGAGATATACAAACAAGTCATACATCATCTCCTTTCCACTTCCCGAGACCCACAAGACCTATGTCCTTTCTGCCGCATTAGAGGTACAGAATCTGGGCGCTCGAGTTCGAGGCTGAGACGGAAGTAAGAATGGTCCTGTTCTGCTTCAAGTCGAAAATGGTCGCGCCAGAGGGGCCGAGAGGACCTGAGGAGGTCTGGGCAGACGCACCAGTAAAAGTTGAGACAGCCAAAGTCGGGGAAGGGAATTTGGAATCCCTCTTCGAGGTCCACGATGAGCCAGTCTGCCTCCATCATGCACAGAGGGCCGGAAGTGACGACCCGGGAGACGGTCTGGTTCGTGCTCTGGTTGGTAATGACCACCGTGCCCGACGTGACGTTCATCGCAGTGACGCTTATCGTGATGTTCAAGTTGTCGCCGACCGAGACGCTGAAGTCGAGATGGGGGTGACGACGCTGCCAGGGAAACTCGTGGTAAAGGCTGCGAGAAAATGGATGGTTTGTCAACATGCGAGGCGGAGCGCAAGGAGCGCAGGCTGACCGGTAGAACTCACTGAACCATCGAAGATGAAGGACTGAAAGCCATCCAGGATGCCGCCGGTCTGGCAGCCCATCCAATCAATGTCGACCGCGGCGACTAAGGTGCAGGCGATAACCTGGTCTTCGTCCCCGGCAGGCACACTGAGCGCTGGATTCAAGAACGACCCGGCGACAGCTGTGTTCGTGCTCTACGCGGAAGTCAAGCCTGTCAGCTCACGCAACACACAGACGCATAAGAGGAGACTCGCTATAGTCGTAGTCAAGACGGCGCCAGCCTGGGTTGGGGAAAACTAGGATTGTGAGCTGTAGCCCGAACTGGGGTTCGACTTGAGCTCGCCGCGGGCACGACGAGCGATGCCGTCCTCGCGCCGGTCCTTGTGGGACGGCAGCGAGAGGGTAATCGCGGCAGCGAGAGCCAAGACCAAGAAGATGACGAAGTACATGGCGGCGTGAGCGACGCGGGGTCAAAAGAGCTGCGAGGTCGTCGAGCCAAGAAAGGCAAGGAATCTGTAGCTTAGCTATAGCTGCCAGGCGAGCTTATATGCATCGGAGGCCTGGCCGGCAGGCACCTGTGCACCACGACGATTCTGCGGTGCATCTGCGTCATCATGCACGGAGCTTCGCGAAGCAGGGCGGGTCTGATCACAATCGTGGCCGTTGCAACTCGAAATGTTGCAAGTCAAGGCTTTCCAAGTCTGGCCTTGGTCTGACTTTGATGGCCGTTCAGAACGTTCAGATGTTGGAGGACAGCCTGAAGACTCAGTGAAGAGATGCGGTTTCGGGTACTGAAGCGACGTTTCGGACGGGATTGTGCTGACACAACAGGCAAACTGAATTACGGGTTTTGCTCGTTGTGTGAATACCGTCCCTGACAAGGCCTGACAATTGGTTTTGCTGCTCAGTTGGGCGAAAATAAATAAATGTTAATAAAGTCTAGTCCTTCTAACACGCGGGATATACAAACAAATCATACACCACCATCTCCTTTCCACTTCCCAAAACCCACATAACCTACATCTTTTCTGCCACATTACAGGAACGTGATCTGGACGCTCGAGTTCGAGGCCGAGACGGAAGTAAGAACAGTGCCGTTCTGCTCCAAGTCGAAAGTGGTCGTGCCAGAGAAGCCGAGAGGACCTGAGGAGGTCTGGGCAGATGCACCAGTGGTGTTGAGCGTGCCAAAGTCGGCAAAGGGAACTTGGGTCCCATCCAAATTATAGAATTCTATGAGCACGTCTGCTTCCTCCAAGCACAGAGGGCCGGAGGGAACGACCTCGGAGACGGTCTGATTCGTGCTCTGGTTGGTAATGACCACCGTCCCCGACGTCGCGTTCGTCGCAGTGACATTAACCGTGATGTTGTCGCCTGCCGAGACAGTAAAGTCCGAGATGAGGATGGTGCTGCCAGGGAAACCGAAGGTATAGGCTGCGGGAGTATAGGTGATTTGTCAGCATGTGAGGAGGAGGGCAATATGAGCGCGGACTGACCAGTAAATGTCTCTGTACCGTTCTGAAGGGTGGCGATAATACCAGTTACGATGCCACCATTCTGGCAGACGAGCCAATCAAGGCCCATTGCGGTGGCTACGGCGTAGAGAGCCTGCGGGTCATCGCCCTCAGGCACATTAAGTGTCGGAACCGTGAACGAGCCGGTGACGCCCGTGACCGTGCCCTATGCGAAAGTGAAGCCTGTCAGCGCACTTCACAGAGACATAATAGGAGACTTACTGCAGTAGTATTCAAGACAGCGCCAGACAGGGTGGAGGAGAACTGGGGTTGAGGACTGTCCCTCGGATTGGGGCTTGAGTTATTCCCGCCGCGGGCACGACGAGCGATGCCGTCCTCGCGCCGGTCCTTGGGGGACGGCAACGAGAAAGCAGTTGTCGCAGCGAGAGCCAAGACAATGGGGATGGTGAAGTACATGGCGGTGTGAGCGACGTGGGGTCAAAAGAGCTGTGAGGTCGTCGAACTAAGAATGGCGAGGAATGTGTGGTTTGGCTATGGCGGTCAGGCGAGCTTATATACATCGGAGGGAGCACCTGCGTGCCATGATGATCCTGGGGTGCTTCATCATGCACAGAGCTTCGCGAGGCGGGGCGGGTCTCATCACAGCTACGGCCGTTGCGACTCGAAATTTCGCAAATCAAGGTTTTCCAAGTTTGGTCTTAGACTGACTCTGATGGCGATTCAGATGTTGGAGGACAGCCAGAAGGGGTACTTACCGGTGCGGTTTCGGGTTTCGGTACCCAGCTATTCTAGCGCGCGCGGACTTCGCCGGTCGGAGACTGTGTCGGAAATCAAAGGCGCTGGTGATGTGCAGCCTCTCGCCAGAAGAATAGTGGTTCTATGCAGTGGTAGCCGTACTAGCCCTACATCACATTTTATCACAAGTACTAATATCAGCACTCAGTACGCCCCTCCTTCTGCTCCCGACAACCACCATCAGGGGACACCCAAGCCATGAAGTTCGCCGTGACAGGCTGCAACGGCAACATCGGGAGGCGCGTGTGCATGCTCGCCGGCCACACCGTGCACGGCATTGACAGCGCCTGTCCCCCCGACCACCCAGCATTCTTCGTTCACTCCAACTTTGTCTTCTCACAACTCGATCTGCGCGACTACGCTCAGACCGTAGAC